TGATATATATTTATAAAAAATTGAGAATCTTTGATCTAAGATGACATGAATGAATAGAAGTTCAATGTTTAATCATTTACAGAACTTATCGAAAGAATATGCAGCAGACTGTGAAGTAAGAGAAAATGAGACTGAAGGTAGCAAAGCGATTGAAGCGGCTTTAGCTGCCATGACTGATATTGCAAAGCATATAAACGCAATGAAACGAAGACACGAGCACGCGGTGCGTGTTCAAGAAATTCAGTCCCTTTTGTATGGTTGGCCTGGTCCAGATTTAACTACTAGTGGAGAGTTAGTAGCGGAAGGAAGATTCAGAATGCGAGGGGCAAAAGCTCCTAGACACGCTTTCTTATTTGATCGTATGCTTCTGCTCACTAAAAAGAAAGAAGATGGGCTTCTAGTCTACAAAGCTCATATTATGGTAATATTCTATCTTTTTTTATATAATATATAAAATTATTTTATTAATACTTTGTATATATTTAATTTTATATTTACAGTGTTCAAATTTAATGCTTATTGAAAGCATACCAGGCGAACCACTTAGTTTTCACGTAATTCCTTTTGATAATCCTAGATTGCAATATACTTTACAAGTAAGACAATATTTATATATGATTATAAATTATTATATTTTTTCAATTAATATATTTAATAAATATGATATATTTATTTTTATCAGGCAAGAAATTTGGAACAAAAGAGAGAATGGACTTTTCAAATAAAAAGGGTGATTTTAGAAAATTATAATGCGGTTATACCTTCGCATGCGAGACAATTGGTTTTAGAGCTTGGTCAAACGCAACCAGAAGGTCCGTTTATATGTTCAATAATATTTTATATAAATTAATATTATTATAAAATGTGTAATGATAATAAAATTGTTATCACTTAGAAGAGGCTTTGGCAGATAGAGGATTGGCGAAAAAGCAGTACTCTGCACCTCCAGAGTATTTAGAAAAACGGAAACAGGAAAAAGAGAGACGAAGATCTGAAACAGGACTTAAACAGAAATTTAAAAAAAGTGGCAGAAAATCTGAGACTACAAATGAGGTAAAAATAGTTCCAAATGTTTTTTATAACATTCATTTTTTTCATTGTATTTAATTTAAATAGGATTATTTTATTACATATATCTTATTTTATTTAAATAGGATTCTCCAGCATCGCCACGAAAAAATCAAAACGAAGATTCTAGCATCAATGATTCTAGAGAAGGATTTAAAGGTTCAGATGGACGCGGATCAAAAGTTAAGGTATTTAAATTTGTAAATTATTTTATTTTTTTTTTATCAAATATAGAAATGATGACTATGAGAAACACATATATTTTGTTCAGGATCGCTTTACTGGTTGGAGAAGGAAATCAGAACCAGGCTTTCAATCTTATGTATGTCTTAATCAATCTGATGAAGAGCAAAAAGAAGATACGGGTGATACAGAATCAGCCACAGTTGAAACCGATTGCGTGATTATTGAAAACGACAAGCATGCAAACTCTCTATCGTCCGAAACCAAAGACAATAATGAACAGACTCAAGCACAAACAGTTGAAGAAATAGTTGGCCATATTCTGATGCAAAATCAAGAATTTCAAAAACTTCTTGAGAAACAACGAACGAACAGTATAATTAATGTCAGACAACAGCAACGTTTCAATAAACATATTTCTGCTGATACATCTGATGAAAGTGATTCAGAAAATACAAACTATATTGCACATAATTCAGTTAATAATAGGATATCGCGTATTAGAACAGGCCATCGAGAACGTTTTGTTAAAACGAATAATACTTGGAATTCATTATCTTCAACTCGTGACCACCAACCTAGTCTGCAATTGCTATACGATAATCTAAATAAAACTGAAAATAATAAATCAGTGGATAGTAATTCGAAAAATAAGATCAATCTTGTACAAGAGAAGAAAGCATTGTTTGAGAAACAAAGTATCTCGAAAGCATTTAAAAAACAAAGTATTGTAACGGAAAGTAAGATTATCAAGACTGCGCTTAGAATAAGAGAAAATTCAAGTTCGAGAAAGGAAGAAACAATTATTCAACCATCAACAGCTCAAGTTCCGAAAGAGATTGAAGTTCAAATTGTAGAAAACGATAAAGATAAAACGGAGAATGATGAATATACAAATGAAATTAACAAGGAAGAATCTAAAGGTTTTGGAAATTATGACAACTTACAGCATGTATGGGAAGGTCTACAAGAAGAAAAAGATTTGGATGGAAATGATAGTCCAACTCGTCCAGCAGTTTGGTTAACTAAATTGTGTGAAGGATTACCAGTTTCGCCTCAAAAATGTGGTTCTCTTCCACGTAGTTTCCAAATCCATCCTAATAGCAATCAGAACGTAACAAAATCACGCTTTTTACAGAGAGATGGTAAACCTATGAGCGAAAGACCATTTACTATAGCTTCAGATAAACCAGCAGAAATTAATTTAGAAGATATGGAAAGATACGCTTCTACGTGCCAACCAGAGGGAAGAATCGCTAAATTTCCAACTTCTGTTTCAACTTCTACATCAACATTCTTTTGTTCTTTGGATGATACGTTAACAGACGCTTATTCGGAGATCCATATATCTTCTACAATTACAAATATACATCCTGATCACAAAATCTATAGAGCGAACAATAGTGGGAGCACCATATTTAAAAATGTTCTTTCTAAAGCTGGAAATCGTCTTCAGGGTCTAAGAAATACTATGAGTACAGAGACTTTAGAGTGTAGCGAAGAATTAGAAAGGACGAAATACTTTCGTTCTTTAAGTACAGGTAAGTTAAAGAAGAAAAGCAAGATGAAGCAATCAAGAGAATCTTCTTCAGATGTAGAGGAGTTTGTGGGATGCACAGCAAAAGGAAGTTCAGATTTAAGAATTCCTTCGCTGTATTATAAGCAAGGAAGTTCGAGTCTAGGTGCCCGAATTGCTCAATCTGATTATGCAGATCCAGCTTTATTATTTTTCGAAAGCAAACGTCAGTTGATGAATAGTCAGTCTCAAGCTAAAGAAGAAAAAAAGGAAGATGAAGAAAGTATAGAAAACCGAGAAAGTGAAACGGATAGCTTTTATGAAAAATCATTCGAGACGATTGAGAACTATGTGGATGCAGATGTTGATGACGCGTTCCGGGATAGTGCAATATTTAGCGATATCGAAGAAGTTCTAGTGGCTAGGCCATTTTCAAGTCAACCTTTTGAGGATTGTGCGCCATTCAAAAATAAGCTGGCACCACCTGTACCAACGAAAAAAAGAACAGAATCAATTACAACGATAAATCCTTCAGGAAACAATGTTACAATAACAAAGTATAAACCTAATATAGCTCAAAAACCTGAATATTTGAAAGTGAAATCAGTTTTCTTGAAAGGACAAGAATTGGACTATAAAGTTTTGGAGAAGTCTTCTTGTGTATCTGAAAATGGAATGTACTGTTCTAAAAATAGTTTACAGAATAATTGCGCACAGAATTGTGGCGAAGAGAAAGATGATGTATCGGCGGGACAAAGCCAAGCTGGCTGGGTAAGAAAAATAGTGGATCAGTTACAAGGTCATATTGAAACATAATTTAATGCCAATGAAAGTGTACAAATCTTGTAACTGAAGCTTTGAACACGGGAATTTCACGTTTGTTAATGTTCTTAATCCTTTTGAAATTAGTGGATCCCATATTGTAGATTTTAGAATTTAATTTGCATACTTAATGAAAAAAAAAATATGCGTGATAGAAAAATATAATAATTAAAAATTTTTAGAAATATATAATTCGAAAGGATTAAATAATTATTCAGATATTCGTTTGCATAATCACGAACTAGTAAAGTTTATTTTTGAGTGATCTGCAAAGTACAATCTTTGAGATTATATTGTATTAGTACAATAGAAAAAAGAAAGAAAGATTAAAAATAAATAAAAGTAAGATATTGTATAAAGAATAACATTAATGGAATGTTAGATATTTCAATGGAAAAAATATGTATATAATAAATTAGTTTGAGAAATTTTTTTTTTTAATGTTTATATTTGATCAAAATTAAAAAAAAAATATTATTATGTACACATTACGTTCATTGAAATGTATTCTACTATTCGTGCCTTGTATAAACTATTTCTCGCGCAAATATGAAGTTCTAGTGTTGAAGCGCACGTGTATATCGTACAACATTGAAACAGATACTGCCGAATAATTTGTCATATTTGGTAAATTAGTGATAAAAAAACAAAACATTATAATCAAGTTTTAATTATCGTATGTTGTAATAATCCGTGGTATATATAAATTTCGTATTAATAATACAGGATAATTAAAGAAAATTGTTGAAATTAAAATCTTCACACAAGAAAAAAAGAATTAATGAGCTAATAATTATTAAATATTTAAATAAAATTTATTTTTTTTAGTAAAAAAAGAATGATGTGAATGAATTGAATGATGTGAATTATTATGATAAAGAATTTATCAAAAATGATCGCCCTGTATTGTTATAATTTTTTTTCGAAGAAAAAAGAAAAGAAAAAAAAGAATAATAAATTTTTATATTTCAATGTCGTCAGTCAGATTTGTAAATCGATATATGTATGTACATATCGACTTGAATATTTCAATCGCTCATGTACTTGCATTAACTTGTTAGGATTTCAACATCATTATTTTATTTTTCAATAATAATTTCGTTAAAAAAGTGTTATCTTTTATTTATTCGTAGAACCTAACAGGTATATCGTTATTGCATTTCTTTTTTAAAACAGAAAGAAATCTGTCGTATATTTAACAATTAGACAATAATAAAATAATATGATATAAAATGAGTTTGTTTGATTTATTTGCAATTGCAAAAAACTAATATCTAAATAATCAATCAACTTAATTATTATCAATTTTTGTTTTCTTTGTTATTCTTTTCTTCAATAGAAACATAAAAAAATTACTAAAATTTAATTTAATTCAAAAATAAAATCAAAGGTTTAAATCTTTATTAGATGCAAATGTTACTTCAGGTAGGTTTTATTACGAGAAATGTCTATTTACAAGAGACTTCGGCTAGTCATGTTTACAAATACAAGAGTAAATTATACATTGTATTCATAAATTAGTTTTGCAATACTGTATACAAAAAAGAAGAAAAGAAAAATATTAATTAAAAAATGAAAAATTTAATGAACTGAAAAATAAGATCGTTCATTATAATACATTCATTATGTACAACTGTAGCAACTATATAATACATTAATTGATTATTATCTTGAATTAAAATTCTCTTTTTAGGAGAACCTTTTTTTTCAAATCTCCATTAGTTCCTGCTGCATATATAAATATAAAGAATAAATTAAGATTCATTTCGTTTACAAAGTTTCTGCGATTGATGTTGTACAGAAATATAATAATTCCATTTATATAAAATAATTCTTACAATAATACAATAATAAAAAGAAAAAATATTTTATTATTATGATCCTTTTGACATAAAAATCATTTTCTATTGTTCATCCTTTTTTTTATTTTTTAATAACAAGATCATTATATAATAAGTACTGAAATCAATATTATTCAAATGTTCCATAATTTAAGAAATTTCTTCCATTTTGTCTGTTTAATATATAATGCTATTTAGTATGCTATAATACTATCTATTAACGCGTTTTTAAACAAAATATATAAATTTCGTTATTATTAGTGTAGAGAAAACAACCAAGATTATAAGACAATAATGACATAAGTAATAGATAGAGAGAGAAAAGTTACATTAATCGTGTAACTTTTGCTTCATTAAAATATTAAGATATCAATGTTTTCCAATTACTTTTTGAACTCCTCATAATTCAATTAAATAGTATAAAAAAGACTTAAAATATGAGCATTATAAGTCTCATGCACGTTTTCAATAAATTTCGTAAAATATTAAGATGTTAGAAAATATTTTTTTATAAGGAGTATGAAAACCATTGTTGCAAAAACTTTAAAGAGTTATTTTATTTCTTTTGTTCTATACAACATCTCATCGAGAAGCTCTCTAAAGCTAGAATTCATTTATATGATAATAATACATTTTTTTTTTATAATTCCATTCATAAGAATATTTTCATTGTTGTTTCTATTCGCAACTAAAACTTTGGTTAATAACATACTATTGAGAGTATTGATAATTATAGTTTTCTTTTTCTTTTCTCCTATGAAATAGCACAAACTAACGAAATCTCGATATCGTCGTTTACGCTAATTCTTATATTTCTTTCAACTCATATTTTTTCTTCGAAGGACAATTTTTATTAAATATATATATATTTATATTTATATATACCTCTCTTTTTCACGCATTTCCTTTTCTTTATCTCATTTTTTTTAAGTCGTATCATCATTTTTACAACACGAATTTGCCTCTTAAAATATTCCAATTTTGGTTTACATATTTACATATATTTTTTAATGAAAAACATAATACATAGCTGAACAGAAGACCGAATCAATTTTTGTAACTTGATAGAACAGCACCTGAAAATCCATGACTTATGAATCCTGAGAGTAATTTTATATTATTTATGTTTTGATTAAATCAGAACTAATGAATTTTAAAAGAAATAGAATAAGAAATAAAATAAAAATGATGAAAAAAGTTTGTTAAAGTCAAAAAAATTCTTTAGGAATTTTTAATTAAGGAAAAATATAATAAATAAAATAAGTACTACAATTTCATTAGTATCACTCTCGGGATACTATAATATTATTGTTATTAAAAAAATAAGAAAAATGAAATTGTATAGAATATAAGATCTAAAAGTATTACAAAATATAAAACAAAAATATTTACTTTTTATATTTTTGTAAATATAATATTGTAATACTTTCAGATAATTTTATATTTTTTATTCATTAATAGAGGCAAAGTCATTAATCTGGTCAATATGGACAGGTACATGTTATCGTACTATTTGTCCTACTGCTATAGAATAGATCTATATTATGTGTGAATTAAACAAGAACATTGTTGGTTACATAAAAAATATTAATACCTATACAAAATATTAATTTTTTTATGAAACCAACAATTTTAATTTTATATGTACATAGCATACATATACAAGATTCAATAAAAATTAAATATCTTCAGCTATGCAGTACATTCAACAAAACATTCTTGAAAAATCTATTTAAAATTTTATGGTCATAAGTAGACTATGGATATGTAAAATTTGCATGTAATATACTTCTGAGTTTTTTCTGTTTTTGTTTTCCTAAATGTATATTTTCTAATAGTTGGTCTGTCATTGAGTATTTATATAATTATTTTTTTTTTTCCTCTTACTCTTTTCCATTGTTCAGAAGTTATTAGCATAAACGTTCTTGCACTTTTCCAGTGTATGCATTTTGCACTGTGCATTTTATGTTATGAATGAAATTATTGTCTTCATAATAATAGAAAAATTTGCCAGGTAACGTTGCAGTATCATTATTTACGACTTATCGAAATAAACATTCAATTTTTGTTATGTAAATTTTTACATAATAATTTTTACACTTTCGACAAAAATTATTAAAAGAACATATGCGTATAAAACATTAAAAATGTATCTTCATACATAACATTCAAATACATCTATTTTGAATGCATAAAAAGTATATAGAATTTTTATCTTTCATTAGTTCTAATAATCTATATCACACCATTGTACATTTACCCGAAACTTATCTTTAAAAAATTGGAAAATATTGATTATATGTATACAGAAAACAAAATATACTGTACAATTAAAACAATTTAAACAATTTTCTAAAATAATTTTTTACAAAAAGTATTCATTTCGTAAATGCTTGCATAGTATATGAGATGTTAATATTTTGCTATAATACTTTGAACGATCATTTTAGAGAATAATAGAAATATAAAAGTTAGCATACAAATGTCGATTGAGGCTTTATTTATTAAATTATAAACAATTTAGTTTGCATTAGATGAAGCGAGGCGAAACTAAAAAATATAACGAGGGTGTAATGAAACAATTCACATTTCCATCTTCTTTATACAAACTTTAATTGTTTATAATTTAATCAATAAGTCTTAATCAACATTTTTATATTCCAAATTTACATTTACTTTAATCTCTAGAATCCATTCATTTAAGATCTTTAGAAATCTTCCAAAGGTATTCTATGAATACATTAACATCCTATATAGTATGTAAAAGATTTCTCTATTTCTATATTTATGTATTGAATAAAACAAAAATGAAAAGTAAATCAATAATTTGAGTGATACAATAAACGAAATTGAATATATTAAATAATTAGCAAAATTAAAATTGATAAATAATACAAAACAATTTCTTTCAAATGCCCACATTACGAGCACTCAATATCTTCTAATGGTATATGCTTAATATAGCAATACAAGGAAGACATTGCTTTACATACCATTCCTGTACAAGAACTATCAATTCATATAAACAACATTATTAGACTTCTCTAATTGTGTTGTTATATAATTTGATTAAACATTTCACATTTGATTGCTCAAGCACTGATTGTAATTGCATACTAAATTGCTGACAAAAACGAGTAAATATACTGATATATGGATCTGCTTAATCTTATTCCCTGAAGAAACATCTCTCTTGTCTTTAAAAAGCTATCTGTATATATTCTCTTAAAAAACTTACTAGTATTACTTTAAGAATGCTTAAGAATGCTCTTAATGCTTTAAGAGTCGTTATTAATTCAGCAAATGTATTTAATTAATGCATTTAATAATAGGACTTAAACTAATTAATTATCACTTTGTACGTGTTCGCTCGCATGCACGTAAGCTTTATGATAAACAAATAAATTCTAGTTCACTTTTTGGAATGAAACATTGAACAAATATATAAAAATTGATATCTAAAAGTAATACATAAGACAAGAGTGATATTTAAAATGATAAAGTGAACTATCTTGGACATATTGTGAACACATTATCATTTCTATTTTTTATCATTTAAAATATTCAGCATAAAATATTTTTTAGTTAAGCATAATTTTATTTTATCTTCATGATAATAAATTATTAATGTTAAGTCTTTAATTTTGCTTTAACATAAGTGGTACACATTTAGTAGTAGCCATGTAATATTCTATTTTGTATTAAAATAAAATACTGTAATGTCTCTTTGCTTAAAAAAAATGTTTAAATTAAAAATCTGATGATTGCTAAAAAGAAGCATTTTATAAATAAAATAATTAAACTTATAACAAAAAATTTTTTTATTAAAAAAAATAAATTGTAATAAAATTTAATTACACCACTTATGCTATTAGCAATAGACAAAATATTTATATAATTATTTACCACAAACAATAAGCAGTCAGATATTATTTACTATAATGTTACTATTATAGCAAATTTTTCATAGCATAATACTTTCTTTAGTAATCCTACCTATTTACACAGCAAATCTTCATATAAAATACCAAAATATTTCAACATTTCCAAGATAATTTTACTCTTTCAATCCTTCTTATTTCAATTTACATTTCATACTTGTCATTGCAAATCAATAACTTTGGTTTGCAAGCTATAGACATATCAATAATGGATGGAAAAGTGCCAGATATTCGTAAATTTACTAAATGATATCTAAAGCGTCCTGAATTCATATTTGAATTCAAATATTTTTAACATATTTAATTTTACTTGATATTCAATTATTAATTGCTATAAGTTATATTTCATTCATACTTGACCAAATTAAATTAATATTAAATTTAATTAATATTACTGTGTGGTAATAATAATATTAAAATATGAATCCTATCTATTCTAATAAAATTTAAACTATATAAAAAATTATTTATAATTTATTTTCTTTACTTTAATTTTAACTACTTAAATTTTGAATAATTACTAAAACTTTCATTTTGAAACATTATTCATTGTTTCTATTCTAATTCTCTGTAAATTTTATTCATTTTAATATTAATAACTGACCATTTTATTAGCTTTATTTTAATAAGAACTACACTTTAAAATAATATTTAAAGAGATCTATTATTTTCTGCAATTTGTAAATTGCAATTTTTAAGTTAATTTTTTTTATTTAGTTTAATTTTTAGTTTTATTTAGCTTAATTTTATTCTTTTTTTATTAATATTTAACATGCAATATTTAAAAACTTAAACTTTGAAAGTATAATATTTTATTATAACGATTTAAACTAAAAATTTTTCTTTCATTTAAATTCTAATATATCTTTTATTTTATATTATTCATAGCATGCAAAGATGTAAACTTTTACGTTCATAAAAGATGTATTTAAATTGGTCGTTTTATTTTATGTTATTCCAAAAAAGTTTGAAATAAGTATTGTTAACATAATGTAAATAAAAGAAATACTATTCTATATAAATAAATAATAATAATAAATTTCTAAAATTTTTAGGCACAATTGTTAATTAAAGATACGGACGTTATTCTCTATAACGATGCAAAAAAAATTATAATAGTATATCACATAATATCAATTGATATTAACATTAATTGTTATTAATGATATCAATTAATTAATCGTAAAATATTATATTGTTTATTTTAGATTAAATAAAAAAATCTCAAATTTCAAATGAAAATTAATTTAAAAAAGCAAAAATACTTAGCGTAATATTTGCGTTCCATAAGCTCTATTTCATCCAGCACTCTTCCTCCTGAATACAGTTCACATTAAAAAGTCTTTCACAAATGAGAAATATCACATTTCTCCCAGTCTTGATACCCATCACACAAAATGCACTTAATGTCATTATCTTGAAGAAGTAAGATGCTAATATATTTCATTGAAATTCAAATATATATTATATATAGACATATTGTGCTCCTAAAATTTGAATTCATGTACAATATGAAGAAATTGTTTTGGATATTTATAATATATATCCATCAAAGCCACATATTTTTAAGAAAAAATTATGGAGAGGAATTTTTACCTTAATCGCTTCTTTAAATTTCCAATCAATATTATCAATATTTGTTAGATTTGCTAGTTAATATTATAAACATAAAGCATTCCATGGTGCATATAGTTAAAAATTTATGAATCTACTAAAAATGATTGTTTTGTATGAATTAATAGCTAAAATTTTTCATACATACTTTATAAAATAAATAATTTATGATTGCCATCATAAACTACTTTACAAATTTATACTGTGTATTTATAGTACAATCATCCAAAATTAGAGACACTGATGAACGCAATGTCTTATTAAAGTAACTTTGATGTAAGAGCCCAATGCCTACCAAAATAAAACATATACAAAAGAACAGGATATACATTATATTGAGTATACACACTTTAATTTTACATTTCTTTTCTTTTCTTTTTTTATTCATACAAGAAAAATATATTGGGAATGCCATTTGATAGATATATTTTTGATAATTAATTTGTATTTAAATCGTTGTCTTCGTTTCAAATATATTAATCTACTTAAACTATCTTTGGCCAATATTTTCTATAACTTGTATAAAGTTTAGACAAAAAGCTTATGTTGATACAATTAATTTATTTCGAATATTGTAAGGATCTTTTATATTATCTAAAAATTATTCTAAAAATATAAGTATCCATATATCTATAAGTAAATATTGTTATATATGAATAGTTCTCTAGTTGTTTAAAACCCGTAAATGTAAAAAATTGAATTAAAAAATGGAAAAAATTGTTAAAAATCAAATTTTAGATTTACTGATTACTAGATATTTACTATCATAAAGAATGTCGAGAAAATATTAATTTTATAAGATGTTTTTTGAGAAAATTAGTATAAGTTTTATTTTGTCAGGCATTTAGGCAAATTCACATATTACTTTAAATATATCATGCTTCTTCTTAATCTGTTCCATCATGATCTTCATTTTCAGACTTCAAAGATCATTAATTCTATATCTTCATTAAAAAGTTTTTTCTCGGCAAATAACCAGTCTATGCAGCAATAACTATATAGAGAACAGTGACAAATGACGTATGTATATATGTATATGTTGATATTATGTTGGTTTCATCCATATGCTCTTTAAAACAGGTTAATAGCAATTCTCTTACCAACATCGACCACTGCCTCTCAGTCATATTTTACTTTATATGCAGTCATTGGAATCACAAATCACTCGTGACACATTAAGTCTGCACATTTACAGTTGGAAGATAGCTTAATAACTGGCTTCGTGTCCAGCAAGTATATATAAATCCGCGCCTTCGGATTCAGTCAGTGTACCTGATTGAACTAAGTGGCTCTCCAGCATCACAACTCTATCAAAAAAAAAAAAAAAAAAAAAAATCGAAATCTTTTTTTATTTTTAAATATTTAATTTTTATATTTTTAAAACATTTGCAAACATTTTATTTTTTAATATCTTAAAATTATTAAGTACAAATACAAAAACACATACTTATCTGATCCAAGTAATCTGTACGTTCTACTCGGATCACTGATTTCTTGCGTAACTTCACCGTTTTTGAAACTTCTACCTTGCATACCATGTTTATGGAATGCTAGCACACTATCTGGTAAACAAACTAAAATCAAAAAAAAAATGATTATAATAATATTTATTTTAATATTAACAATAAAATAAACTACGTTACTTGTTTTAAATGATCTTACTAATGGATTCAATTTGAAAATTAAAATGTAATTCTGACATGTGCTTTCTACTTGATCTAGGCTTTCCTTGCAATGTTACCACTTTTACTACATCTAAAATAGAAATATATAGATTATAATAGATTATAATAGACAGAAATATAATAGATTATCAAGAATATTATACAAAGATTTTTTTATACTTACTATCATAACAGACTAATATTGCATTTTTTTCTAATTGTGTAACATTGATAACATGAAGATTTTCTCTTCTTGGTATCACAGTAGCTATAAAAATATAAGTTTTTAAATTAAGAAAAAAATAATAGAAATATTTAATCAATTTATTTAATGCATGAAAATCAAAAAAAAAGATACCAGAACCATCCATATCTTCCAATTCATCACTGTGAAACCAACTTGCCCCTGAATTCATATTGATTAAATCCAACTTTAATTTATTCTGTTGATATGGTTGTTTCACAGATACACACACCATCGGATACTCCATTTCAGGTGTAATAATAATTTCAAATACATTTAGTGGTGTTGGTAATGTACAATCAAAATGCTTTAACAACATGAACTTATTAAGAGGATCATACCATTGCATTAAAAATATTCCAGTTGGCATTGCACCACATAGATATTTATATCTGCATTAAATATTTTTATTATCAATGCTATAGAGAAAAATATAAAATTTATTTACTTACCCATTATATGGATTTCTTCCTACACAGCATTTAGTACAACCTTTTGTATCTGGTACTTTTGTAGTTAGAGCAAATTTTCTAGGGACTAATCTTTCAGGTATTTTATTCATATGTAATGAAAACCTATGAGTTTGTTTACTTTGCATTGCTAATAAATCATGTCTATATAATTGAGGAGTTTTTCCTAAAATTTAAAATTAATACTATATATATAATAATTAAGAAAATTAATGATTAATAATTATATAATGATTAATAATTATATAATATTTAAATAATAACATAATTTAATAATTAATATATTTTTTACCAGATAAGGACATGAGAACATCCTTGATGACATACATCCAAATAGTTCTTCTTGGATATAATTGATCTATTGCAGTTTCATGAAGTTCATTTAAATTTAAATTATAAATTCCTTCTTCTGCTGCAATTAATAAATGCTGATCCCTTGTATCTGGATGAATCCAACTTGCAGTACAATGTATTCTTAACGGACAACCATTAAATACCTATATAAAAAAATTATTTAAAAATTTCAATTTTATTTTAATTTACTAATATTAATAATTTCTTCAATTAATTGAAATAAAATGAAAATACATAAATCATACTAACTTTTGAAAAACATGCTCCCATATGAACCTTAGGTGTTGGTGGCAGTCCATTGCTGATAGGTCTAGGAGGTGTATGACGTTTTCTATCCCTTCTTCTCGGAGGAACAGGAGGAGTATCGGATAATAAATCTGGACTCATACCTTCTCGATCTCCTTCGCCTGACATCTCATTTTGACCTAGGAAAAATTCATTTATTCATTATATTATTGTATTTATTCATATACAATGTTAATTGTTTTTAATTTAATTTTAATTTATATAATATTTTAATTTAAAAATTGATATGCTCCTACCATTCGATTGAGGAGATTCATCTCTAGGGCCACTATCTGAAAGAGATCGTTGACGTTGTCCATTCACAGCAGCCAAAGACTGAGTACTATTCACTAAACCATATAATTCATCTACAGAGCTATGACGCCTGGGACTTGCTTGTGATCCTAATCAAATTTAATTTTTATATATTATTATTTTAATAGAATTTTTCAGTATTTCTAAATCTTATGATATCAAACTACATTGATTTTGAATTTGTAAATTAATTATCATTTTAATTTGATTGATTTTTTTTAAATTGTAAAAAATAATTAACAAAAATTAATATAAAATCTTGTGTGATATAAAGTTTGATAAAAAATTGTAAGAAATAGACTATAAAAATATATATTTACCTGATATATTGTAATATGCGCCATGCACTTCACAATCATTTGATGATTCTCCAAGTGGAAGTGTAGCTCTGAAAAAGAATAAATAGACCACCAAGTGTTAAGAAATATTATATACCAGGGAAAACATATATTAGAAATTTTCTTCTTTTAAAAACAAGTGCTACTGGTGTTAGTAGATTATAAATAATTTTTAAATAATAATCAGAAAATAAGTTATTAATAACAATAATAATTAGTCAAGAAATAAAAAAAATATAGCATCATTTATAAAATTGACAAAATGCAAAAAAATGTTAGGAGATTAAAGAATTATAGATAAAATCAATATATATAAAATTTTTATATTTTATAGTTTTAAAGCATTTATTATCATATTATTTAGTATTTAAACTTTAAAGTGTTCTTTCTCTTGAAAGAGCATAGAATACTTTATAAAAGGTGGTGTTTAGGAAAAATTAATAGTACATATATTAATCCAATACTTATTAATAAATAAATTTTAAGAAAAATTTTAAGATATTAATATTTAAAAACTAAATATTTAAATTATATGAGTTCTTATATCAAAATATTTAATTTTCCATAATTTTTTTTAGCATAAATATTTATCACCCTACTTAATTGTTAATAAAAAAATATATTAAAAAGAACTATTATTTGAAGTAAGATTTAAATATTTTTAAATATTTATTAAAATTATTTATTCTGAATAAAAGGCATGTGTTACTTTCAGCCAAAAGTAACAGAAATAATCACTGTATCTACAACCAAAAGATTAAACAACCTACTATTATTTTATCATTTACTTACTGCAGGGAATATAGCTGGTCGCAATGCCCACCAACCATCGACATTGCATTCCCCCTGCACATATGAAACTATAATCATATACTATAAAACACATTTTTTTGTTATTAATCCTGTGAAAATTTTTTGTCAGTGTAATTAATTGTTTTATATATGAAATAATTCATTCATAATTCATTTTAAAGAATGTAAAGATAATTTTTTCAATCAAAATAACTATTATAACATTACTTAAACATTAATTATTATATGATTTCATATAATAATATTACCACATTGGTATCATTTCATCTATCACAGTTTTCTTACCATTATTAAATCACAAAAATATAATTTGAACATGTATTAAAAATTGTAATCTACAACAGATACATAAATTTCCACCACCTGGTTAACAGTTTAAAACTTATACTACAAAAAAAAATTGCATGCAATGAAAAATACTAAGAATATTTATGACTAAAGAGTTATACCTCAAAAGTATGAACTCCAAAATTACACTATTTACATATAAATTTTGAGTATTAATATTTATTAAGAACACCATAGAATATATAAATAAAAAGTAGCTAATAGAATAAATCAAAGAAATACATAATGCAAAAGAAGCTTTAATTAATTTGAGTGCTTCAAATAAAAATGCAAAAAAATATGTTAAGAATATTAGAAAATAGATTAATAAATTAGCATGAAGCTGCAATAAAAACTAAATAATTTTAATGCAAGGCATAAGGAAGTATATGTGCAAGGTGCAAGGTGCAAGGAAAAGGGTTACCTGCCAATACCTTAGCAACAACTCCTCATCAATGTACTGCAATAGACTCCTGTTGGGAGAAATTATTAAAATTACAAACTGATCAGAGAAATTAAAGCTATGAAAATTGAAATGAATCATGAAATTTGAATAAAGATCAGATAAAAGGATAAAGTAATTACTATTTTGAGATCATACTAATTAAAAAAATTACGATTTAATAATTAAATTTAGATAAAATATACTATATAAATATATGCCACATCTGATACAAATTTTATTATTTTTTATTAAATCGTATTATTCTATTAAAATTATCAAATGCATAAGATACTAATGAAAAAATATATACAAAATATTATGATTTTCAAAAATAAAAGTATAAAAATAAATTTAACAAGGCAAAAAGATTTGCATATAAGAATAAAATACAAATGTGATAATAATACTTACGCATAATAGGATTAGTATATACATCAGGACCTTTTAACTTTCATTCTAAACATGCAGTATTTAAATTTTATATCGATTATCATGCATACTTTGTAATATATATTATTTAAAAAAATTAATTATTTTTAAAGTATAATCAAATATAAATATATATATTTAATATTATATATATAAACTATAATATCTATAAAAAAAATAAAAAATATAAAAAAAAAATGCGATCACTAGCTTCATGCTTTAAATTCTTAAATTTTTTCATGTTCTATATCAATAGTAATTAAAATGACATGCATATCTATTTTAGGAAAATAAAATACATTTTTTTAAATTGAATAAAAAAAATCATTCCATTTTTTGTACATATTTAACATATTCAATGGAAATGATAATAATGTTAAATTTCACTGAATCTCAATTCAAAACCGCATGTGTTCACACCAAACTACCTGCATTTTATTACCTTAAACTCATATGAAATATCTCTGTGCCTGTTTTGCTTCGACGCGACTCTCTATTATCTGTTGTAACGTTCGCGCCAACAGGACTGATACAAAAATAAACTATGTCATGTCTAGGAAAACTATACAATGACAAAATTATTATTTGAAGCAACTAAAACTTTAATTTTTCTTAATTTTTTATATTGCATAAAGAATATAAATTATTTAAAAAAAATTGCTATAATTTTTTTAAAAAAGTATCTTTTAAAAATAAGTCAAATTATTATAAATTGAATCTGAAGAAGCATGTTTAAATTTCCAAATTCACTTTTACTTTTTGCTATTTTCAATAATTAATGCATTATATGCAAAGCAGAAGCAGACGTGCCATATGCAGCTTGACGTTTGTTAGACCAAAATTGCTGTTTTGTTTTACATAATTCTGAAGTATATAATAAAATTAAAATTTATAGAACCCTACAGATTAATAATTAATTAATAATTAATATTCTATTTAAAAGATTTTGAGCAAAACAGCAATTATTATATTAGCAGAAAGATCTCAAAGCATTCCTTCTCTCATTTTTCTCAGAATGATATATTTCTTTACTTATATGATTAAATATATTTATTTCAAATATACTTACTTTTCTTGTACATCTTCAAATGCTGTGCCAATACCACAATCTGGATGAACATCGCAGTTATGAACTGACTAAATAATTAAATATATAATGCTATTTTAAATATTATATATAAAAAATATTTTCATGATAAATATAAATTACCTTAACGTTATTCATAATATCCATGATATCCCATGATGGATTAGTATCTACAGATGGTGAAATCACGTCTCTTTGCAATGTTCCATCAAGATTAATTTGATCTGTAACATATGTAATTTATATTTATAGGAAAAATAGAATATATATATAATTATCATCAAACTTTTTACCGTCGCTATCTAATTGCGGTATAGGACTTTTTGGTCTAGGTCTTGCAGTATGACGCGATGCTATCCTTTGCGGAACATTAGGTACAGCTCCATCTTCATCTGCTTCTAATTCAGTGAACATATGACTAGGATTTGATACTTTTTGCAATAATTCTAGAGCTAAACGTTTATTCATTTCTCCTTGAAAAAATGCATGCTGAAACGAAAGTTTTTATTTAAAATATTTTCCATCTAATTTTGACTTATTTCAATATTCATACATTATCTATTAATTAAAGAAAAATAATAACCTGTAATAATTTTTCAGCAGTCGGTCTTTTTTTAGGATTTTTAGTTAGAGCAATTTTTACGAAATTATGGAATGTTGGACTCCATTTGTCGCGATCTTTTAACGTAGGTGGTTTAAATCCGGATTTGGACATAAGAAAAAGTGCTCTCATGGGATGTAAATCAAACATAGGTGGTTGCAATTCAGCTAATTCTATTGCAGTAATTCCACATGCCCAAATATCACAAAGCTGATTATAACCACCCTTTCTTTCTACAGCTGCAACCTGCAAATATGAATTAAAATATAAATTTATAAAATATTTCCATAAAATTATTCAATCAAATCAGGATACCTCAGGTGCCATCCAATAAGGAGTACCAATGAAACTCTTCCTTTTATTAATAGTTGCAGTAATTTGTGCTGATACACCAAAATCAGCTAATTTGACATCACCAGCTTCAGTCAATAATATATTGGCACCTTTAATATCACGATGCATTTTGCCCATACTATGTAAATAAGCCAATCCCAAAAGTGTTTCTCGGCACATATATGCTATTTGTATTTCTGACAAAGGTCCAGTTACTATAATATTATTAAAATATTCATTGTATTATAATATATTTTTAATATTGCAATATATCATACGAATAAATGATTTTTATCATAAATATCTTATTTGAATATTAATTATATAAATTAAGATTCATTAAGAATCATAAAAAAATATTAATAAAAAAACTTACTGTGATATATATCTTGCAAAGAACCACCTCCACAATATTCCATACAAATCCATAATTTATCTCTTCTCAAATAACTTCCATAATAGGCAATAATATTAGGATGTCTGCAATCTTTCATCATTAAAATTTCTTGTTGAATTATTGCGAAATCATCTCCTAAAACATTTAAAGAATATATGGTATATAAAAATATATTCATATCCTATAATCTTATAATATTCATTAATAAAAATATTTATTAAATTATTATTTAAATAAAATTTCCATTTAATTTTAAATCTTTAAATAATATTAAATCAAAGAAACCATATTAATGTATTCATTTTGTTTTGATTATATGTATAAATAAATAATATCAAACAAATATAATTCATTTATTAATAAAAGAATATATTAATATATTTCTAATTTTTTATAATGAAATTATAATAAATATAATAAATTTTTATATATAAATATATAAATATGCAAATGTTTTTGAAATATATTTTAATAAAAAAATATAAATATGAAAGAAAAAAAGAAAAAAAACGGTATAAACAATAACTGTCTGCATAATTATAACTTAATTGCAAAATGCTATATAAGAAACAATCTGAAATGTAACAATCAATTTTTCTAAATCATATAAAATAAATTAAACATATAAATTATTATTTCTATTCATATAAGTTATTATATTTTATAAAATCATTAATGAATAAAAACTTGGAAAATTTGTAAAAAAAGGCGGAAAAACTGGAAGAACATACCTGGTTCCAATTTGATAACCTTAATTGCAGCGAGATCATTTGTGGAAAGTCTTTTGGCCTATAAAAAAATCGAATTGTTTGTAAATATAATGCATTTAAATATAAATATATAAAAATATATAAACCCACGAACCTTGTAAACATCTCCGTACGTTCCGCTGCCTATCCTCTGAATGAGTTCATATTCATCTTGTGGATTTCTTCGGCTTATGTCACTGGATAACGCGTTAGCGTTCAAAGCCATTCTAAAACACGGATTTCTGCTGATTTAGCAGTTAATGAACGTAATCAATATCTACAAAAGAAGATTAATGTTAAAGTGTGAAAACACATTTGTTCGTCAGAATGTCACTTTCGTTGAAACGTCGCCATTGTTCACAACAGCTCTGAAGTTAGTTACGATTTACGACTAAGCAAGCAATTCTTGCAATATCGATCAATCGATTTTATATTTTACATCAAACACACTTAAAATCATATTTTTTTTTCCTTATTAAAGAGAATTAAAAGTAAGTTGTATTTATATTAAAGAAAAATGAAATATTTATTATTTAAAGGTAATTTTTTATTTTATTTGAAAATAAGTTCTACTATTTTTTTATATAATTTTCATGTTTATTAAAATACTTATCACATCGCAATTTTTCTATTGTACTATTGAAAAACTAATTTATGATCATTTTCATTGCACTTTGAACTTCTTCATCAAAGTTTTCTAAAAATATCTTCAATTTAAAAAGCTTTTTTTTATTGGTTTGAAAACATGAAAATTATATAGAAAAAGATCTAAACTATACGGAGAATATTGCTACGTTTCCTATTAAAATTTTTCACAAGAAACGAATCCTAACCCAAATTTTCAATTTAAATGTTAATTTTAACAAACGCGATATATTTCACGATTGATAACAAGTAAAACAATCATTTAATCGAATATATATTAACAATTATAATTTAAACATATTATAATTATAATTTAAACACTCATTTCAAAATATAATAGCACACTTTCATTTATATTTCTCAAAATTAAAAGAATTGTTTAAAATCATTTTATTTTTTTTTTTTTAGAGTTAAGAAGTATAAAAATCTTTAAATATAAGATATATTTTTTTTAAAGATATCCAATAATTTGATATTATTCAAACAAGGTTAAATATAATAATATTTGTTAAAGATAAATGTTATCGTAGATAGATAATTTATATTTTTTAAGTCCGCACAGAATATAATCTGAAACAAAGTGATAGTGATTACATGTACAAATCTGTACATATCTGTAAAATATTGCAGCAATCATTATTTTAGATTTTTTAATCATTTAATTCTAGAGATATTTATCTTGTGAACTTATCTCTTAGAATAAAAATTGCCATTTTTTGCCAACAATTGAAGTTTATTATTTTATTTTCTATAAAAAAATATATTAGACTATATATAAATCGAAAAATTATTAATAACAAAATTATTGAATATAATTAGTGAAGAAGATAATAAAAAGATAATATTAACGATCACTTTTTAATTTATATCTATTTTTTTTCTATTATATATATCTATATATTTGCTCTATATGATTTATTTTATTTTATTTTATTTTTTTTTTTTTGCTTAAGAAACTGTACATAGAATTGTAGATAACTCAATTCTTATAGCTCTTCTATGAAATTATTAATTCTTTTGAAAATATATATTTTATATAATAACATACATCATTTATTATATAATAACTGATCATTATTAATCAACAATCATAATTAATCAACAATAATTCTTAAAAAAATTCTTAAAGAAATTTTAATCTTTCTTTCTCGTTGTTATTTTGCCATAATCTTACACAATTAATTATTATTAGATATGTATCGTCTATTTAATTCGTTGCGTTATTTATAATTCCCGCCAGAATAAATATCCAGAATCCCGCCATGATTAAATTCTGCAATCTTGATAACAATGCAAATGATATGAAAATAATAATAAGTCTTTAAAAGTCTCAGAAATTTGGGCCACAAAAATATATTGCATAATTGGTTTATTCCAGTATCTAATCTGTAGTATAAGATCTTTTCTATGGTAGAATAATTATAAACATATTCAATATCAAATATAATTTTTAAAATGAATTGAATTAAATTATCTTTTCTTATAATATAAATAATCAAATAATGATTATTTTATTATTGAAATAATAAATAGCAAAGAGTACATAGTAGCGTATATTCTTTTATAAATGAAGGGATTCGCAATATTTTTTCTCATAAGGAAAAACTCGTTTTCTCAAGAATTGATTTAACTCGTAGTTACAATGAATTATATAAATTAATCCTTGCGATATTTTTCTTTAATAGTTTATATCAATCATTATAATCTCATCAAAATGACTATGTCGATAAGATGGATAAATGAATGAGTAAATCAATTAACAGCTCATTAGCACAGTCATCTATCATTAATATCTATCTACACAATAAAATGATTCATCGTCTTCTTGAAATTTTATTATGATAATTTAATTATTATAATTTAATAATATTACAAAATAGTAAAATTATAAGATGTAAATTATTTTCTAAAAAAAATTTGGAAATAAAAAATAAGATATACCTCTATTTATCTTAATTTATATAATAGATTAATAGATATAAAAATTCCTTTTTAATCTTTAAAGTAGGTGGATCTAAAAATACAATAAATCATTAAATGTTACATATCTCCTTCTTTAAAACTTATCAAAAGTATCTATTGATTAAATTACATTTAATATCAATTTGCAAAGATCCAAAATTTCATTGTGATAAGTTTGGGGATCAATTAAAGAGGGCGTGATGATGGTTTATGCTAGGTAAGCGCAAAATAAAGAGTACCTAGAACAAATGGGCGGCTAAACTCGCCATAGCATGGCATAATGATAACACGCTCGAATAATAAGGATAGCCAACAGAGGAGACAGGGTTGGATACGCACGCGTGGGCCTGCGTTTGGGGCCCGTCTTCCGCTTCCACTCCGGTGAATGTTCTTTAACTCTGGTTCAGTTCCACTACGTGCTTACAGCATTGTACTCTGACGTCCTAGATATACTTGATTTTGTGTACGAGACTGTTTTCTTTTCTTGTTTCTCAGGCATCGTTCGTTTCCCGTGCATGATCCACCTATTCTTCAAATTATAATTTTCAACAACTTAATATTCCATTCCATAACTTACTTTTATGAAAACATTTGAAAAGAAAAAAGTGTTTTGTGAAAGAAAATCTAATTTTTTTTAACGGAAAATTTTATTCGTTTAAATTTATGATTGTGATTGTGACTTACAAAATTTTCTATTTAAAATTTTAAAAGACATAAAAATAAAAATATGGAATAAATGAAATAGATAAAAAGTGAGAATTTGTAAGAATTATGGTGACATATAGATAACAAATGTGTTAAAAATTATATGAAATAGAATTCAATTTACCGCTACAAATGATAATGAAAGTGATACTCGTTATAATCTATGAAAGTTTTAATGAAATCAAACATTATTTAATCTAATCCAGGTTATTTTATTTATGAAAGTTCAAAAATTTGTATTTTCTAAAGAATGTTTTGAATTTATACGTATATTTTGTTTCACGTAGTAAAAAAAAGCAAAAAAAATTTGAATTTTATAAGGGATGTAAAAATGTTTCAGTCAACTACCGATGATGGCGCTACAAGTTCTATGCTGTCACAGAGTTTCATTCGAATTTCACAACAGTTCACGCACACTTCGTCTCATATTCTTCAACGGAGAGATTCTCGATGTTGGTTATAAACTATTAGATCAATTATGAATATTAATGTCTCCGTCGAAACTATAATTTTGAATTTACATATTAATTTTTATTGAATGTGATAACATTTAAATTTTGTGCGAGTGTTTAATATTTTGTGTTTTAAATTCGCATCAAACTGAAGTGTAGTGAAAATATTTTATCAAAAGAAGATTTAAAAAATTTAAATTTTAAAGTTTTCATTCGTAAACAAATATTTTAAAAAGTTAAAATCATTAATTAATTATGAAAGAAATATAAATATTGTTACAAATATATAAATATTGTTACGTGTTATGTTTTCGAAATATTTTATCTTCGTTTCGTTCGGCGCCAATTTTTTATGACGCTCAGCAATCGATTCATGGATCGATTTGTAATACGATATCGAATAATTTTATATAACATCGATTATTTTCAACGAATTTAAAAACCGTCATTTGTGATACAGTTTACAACGAACTTATTCTAACAAAATACAATAATATTCTATAATAAGAAATTCATCTCGAAATAGAATCGATACTAAAAACAAGTGTCAAAGTATTATCGATAATGAGTATTCCAAAGGATCAAAGCTAATATATTATATGTAAATATACAATAAAATTTTTAAAAACAAAATTCTAAAAAGTACTGATACTTATATCTAATTACGATCTTCAAAATGAACTTCATTTATTTTCAAAGCATTACTGTGATCATATTTATAATCATTGTTCTCATTAATGCTGAGCAAAGATTCGCAGAGACTCCAGCATTATATCAAGAAGTTTCCTCCGGTGATGATGTGCAATTACGATGCAGAGTGCAAGACAAACGAGGTCAGTGTATTTGGCAAAAAGACCGGAAGCCAGTAGGTATGCATCCAGATAAATACGAATGGGCCAGTGGACGTGGTAGTGATTGCACCCTCCTTATCAGAAGAGCTTCCCTTGATTTCGATGACGGGTATTGGGAATGTCAGGTTACTTCTGGCGATTTCACACGACAGGATGCACTAACCTCTTTACCATCTCGTCTTTTAGTTAGAGGTAAGATTTTTTTGATGAGTAAATAATTGATGAACTTTGAATAATTTTTAAAATGAATTATTCGATATTTAATAATAGGATTATGATCAATCGCCACTAGAGGGATACTTAATTCTTATGTTCTCGCAAGTTTGTAACAATTGAATCTTCCATATAAAATATATAAAAAATATATTTTTATGATATTCTTATAATCTCTTTTTTTTTATAGTTGTTACTTAATTTATTTATTAATTATTTCATGTTTTTTTAATTAATTTTTTCACTTATTTGTTTCTTTTCTTTTTTTTTTTTAATTTATTTCAAATTATTTTTTTTCTAATATTTTGTGTTTCTAATTTATTTTCAGTATTTGTTCTCTCATTAATATAAAACATCAGATACCGAAGAAAATCTCTGATTTCCTAGAATGTTTAAAATTCTTTTTTATATTCACTGGTCTCTAATGCCATATGAATAATATCATGTTATATGCTTTGAAAAAAACTTCCTCTTCACTGTATCAAACGACTACCGACTAAATTTCCCAGACTTGTATCGGGCCAAGAATTTTTTTACCCACTTAAGAATCTTCGATACCAGCGTGCACGATATTATCATCTTAAAATAGCCCTCTTTCCAAAAAAAAAAAAAAGAGGAACAGATTGCCTGCTTTTTCTAACGAAAATCTATGTCTGGGAAATTACTTCAAGTTTATATTAACCCGGTAAACCAATTTTTCTTCTTAAAAACACGGTTAAAATTACTGTTTCTAATGGATCGCATATTAATGTAATATACACTTAAGTGGCAATTATGAAATCAAAAGAGATTACTGTAATGATCTCCAACGTTCCGCGAAACGTTAAAGCGTAAAATAAGTGTGTACACTTAGTTTTAACGCAACGTTGCATTTTTACGTCGGTAGAGAAATATCGCTTTCCTCGCCGTGAGTGATCCTTGACGAATCATGTGTATGGCTAATCAGATTCTGACGCCTTCTCAATGGAACGATGTAGATTTGGCGGTGCTTGAAATTTACTAAACACGGCCACGATATGATGTAACGCGACTGCAACTAGTTCTATTTTTCTTTTTCCCATTGCATTTTTGCAACAAAATTTCGCGTTAATTTGACACAATTTTCTGCCAAATTGAATTTACAAATCCAATATTTATATATGTGTATTGTAATACAATAACTATAATTTACATGATTGAAAAATCATGGAAATTATTATATGAATATTAATGTGTATAATTTTTTAGTAAATTATGAAAATTTTTATTTATAATTGATGTGAATATGAAAAGAAAGAATGAAAGAATGAAAGTGAAATGAAAATATGAAAAAATTTTTATATACAATCATTAAAAGAAGAGATTTAAAGTTGCTCTTTTATTTTTGTTATTATGAAATATCTTTTCTCTGTATGAATTTCAGTAAAACCCCGAAAGCCACGGTTGGAGTACGGAGGGACAATTTTAAATTCCGCCCTGACTTTAAGGGAAGGTCAGGAAGTTACCATTTCCTGTGTATCAAGATATGGAAACCCACCGGCCCTTATCAAATGGTGAGTCTAGTTAATTTCTTTTCAAAGGGTAAATTTAATGCACACATAATTATTTCAATATATATATATATATATATATATATATATATATATATATATATATATATATATTAT